CTTTTCTTCCTTCCAAAGGCTGAGGCAGCTATCTTGTAGTGGTTCCAGGAAAAGTCTTGAAGAGAGAAGAGGTACTGGAATCTCCCTCTTCCACGATACTAAAGATTCTTCCTTTGCTAAGAACCATTTTCAAACGAAGCATTAAATTAATCACTTCTTTAAGGGTTCATGTCAGTATGATTTATTATTAAATGATTAGAGAGGGTATCGGTGTCTACTCTTCCCTCTTTAAATGTTTTAGTTAAAAATCTACCAATATGATCAGAAGACTAAATACCATTAAGATATCAATTCTCCTGAAGAACACCAAAGATACAGGGAAAGTATTAGCCCAAGAGACAGAAAGGGCCACATAAACCAGAGACTTCATCAGCCTGAGACCAGAAGAACTAGATGGTGCCTGGCTACCACCAATGACCGCCCTGACAGGAACACAACAGAGAATCCCTGATGGAGCAGGAGAAATGTGGGGTGCAGAACTCAAATTCTAGTGAGAAGACCAGACTTAATGGTCTGACTGAGACTGGAAGAACCCCGGAAAGCACAGCCCCTGGATTCTCTATCAGCCCAGAAATAAAACAATTTATGAGACCAACTCTTCAGACAGGGATTGGACTGAACTGTGGGATATAAAGTGCTACTTGTGAGGAGTGTGTCTCTTAGCTCAAGTAGACACAAGAGACTAAACGGGCAGCTTCTGTCCAGAGGTGAGATGGGAAGGCAGAGAGGGTTAGGAGCTGGTTGAATGGACATGGGGAGTCAGGGGTGGAAAGAAGGAGTGTGCTGTCGCAATATGGGGAGAGTAATTAGGGTCATATAACAATGTATGTATAAATTTTTATATGGGAGACTAACTGAAATGTAAACTTCATTTAAACCACAACAATAAAAAAAAAATGCTATACATATGAAAAAAAAAATTAGTCCCATATTTTTCTAGAGCCTGACTGTTGGCTGATATTGTATAACAAGTCTGACTAATCCCAGACCACAGGTACTATACCGGACAAGTGCATTTTGAGAAAGGAAATCTGGGTACGGTTCTCAGAGCAACCTCCCCTACCTTGCAGCAAATGACCAGGTTCCCTGTGCCCAGCTGCCTTTGGCTCAAGATGTCTCTGCACCAGCTCCCCTCCAGCCCTGTACACTCTAGTCCCGTTCTCTCCTCACTGCCCCCGCCTGTATAGACTACTCTCCTCATACCATTTCTCCCTCTCTCCACCTCTCATAACCCCACCATTTTTCCAGAATGCTATGGGTCTCTCCCTCTCCTGAAGTCTGGCTCTGCCTCTCCACTCTTCTCACTTGACAACCCTTCTAGAAGCACCACCCATATGACACTTCTTAGACACTGAGCTGTCCACAGTGTCTCTCCTAGGGTCCTTCCGTGATTTGGTCATCAAGAACTGTCTGACCACACTAAAGGGGAAGTCAGCACAACTGGACTAAACCAAAGCTAAGAAGTTTCCTGAATATAATCAAACACATTGAGGGACAGAGTAGCAGGGGTAGGGCTCTAGGAACCATGCTTTCAGGGAGCATGTAGGATAATTGGCATAACAAAGTTTATTAAGAAAATGTTCTGCATCCTACTTTCGTGAGTGGTGTCTGGGGTCTTAAAAGCTTGCAAGCGGCCATCTAAGATGCATCAATTGGTCCCAGCCACCTGGAGTAAAGGAGAATGAAGAACACCGAAGACACAAGGAAAGTATTAGCCCAAGAGACAGAAAAGGCCGCATAAACCAGAGACTTCATCAGCCTGAGACCAGAAGAACTAGATGGTGCCTGGTTACCTACCACCAACGACCGCCCTGACAGGGAACACAACAGAGAGCCCTGGATGGAGCAGAAGAAAGGTGTGGTGCAGAACTCAAATTCTAGTAAGAAGACCAGACTTAATGGTCTGACTGAGACTTGAGGAACCGTGGAAAGCATGGCTCCCGGATTCTCTATCAGCCCAGAACTAAAACAATTTCCAAGGCCAACTCCAGATACGGACTAGACTGGACTGTGGGATATAAAGTGATACTTGTGAGGAGTGTGTCTCTTAGCTCAAGTAGATACAAGAGACTAAACAAACAGCTTCTGTCTGTAGATGATATGGGAAGACAGAGGGTTAGGAGCTGGTTGAATGGACATGGGGAATCAAGGGTGGAAAGGAGGAATGTGCTGTCACAGTATGGGGAGAGCAATTAGGGGTCACATAATGTATGTACACTTTTTTGCATAGGAGACTAATTTGAAATGTAAACTTTATTTTAAAAAATTATAAGTTAAAAAAGAAAAAAGATATCAATTATCTGCAACATGTATATAGACTCAACACAATCCCAATCAAAATCCCAGCAGGATTTTTTATAGAAACTAACAAGCTGATTCCATATTTATATGGAAAGAAAAAGGAACTAAAATAGCCAAAACAATTTTGAAAAAGAATAACAAGGTTACATAGGCAATTCAATGGAGAAAGCAGAGTCTTTTCAACAAATGGTTCTGAAATAATTGAACATCCATGTGCAAAAATCTCGATCTATCCTCCTATCATATACAAAAGTTAACTCAAAATGAATTACAGACCTAAACGTAAAACTAAAGCTATAAAACTTTTAGAAAAAAACCCAGGAAAAAAGCATCTGTGACCTTACCCCGTTGCTGTCGAGTCAATTCTGACTCATACTGACCCTACAGGACAGAGGAGAACTACCCAGAGGGTTTCCAAGGGGTGGTTGGTAGATTCAAACTGCTGACCTTTTGGTTAGCAGCCAAGCTCTTAACCACTGAGCCACCAGGGCTCCTAAATTTCTTAGCTATGATTCATTAAAAAAAAGAGGAGGGGGGAGTGAACAAATTGTGTTTCATCAAAATCTACAACCTCTGCTCTTTGAAAGACACTGAGAAAGGACTAAAAAGGTAAGCCACAGACTGGGAGAAAATCACATATCTGATAAAAGACTTGTGGTCAAAATATATAAAGCATTTTTATAACAAACAACCCAATTTTTAAAATGAGCAAAGATTTTAACAGACATTCATTAAAGAAGATATAAGGATGGTGGTAGACAAGCATATGAAGAAGTGTTCAACATCATTAGTCATTAAAGCAATGCAAATGAAATCCATGATGAAATATAACTATACGCCTATTAGAATGGCTAAAATTTTTTGTAAAAAACTGACAATATTGAGTACTGGGGAGGATATGCAGTAGCTGAAGTCTTATACGTTGCTGGTGGGAATGCAAAATGTTACAACCACTCTGGAAAATGGTTTGGCAGTTTCTTAAAAAGTTAAATACAGGACTCAGCAATCCCATTCCTAGGTATTTACTCAAGTGAAATGAAAACCTATATTCACACAAAATCTGTATGTGAATGTTTGTAGCAGCTTTATTTGTAATTGCCAAAAACTGTGAACAACCCAAATATCCCTCAACTAAACCAAAAACCAAAACCAAATCCATTGCCATCAAGTTGACTCCAACTCATAGCTACAGGACAGAGTATAACTGCTCCACAGGGTTTTCAAGAAGCAGCTGGTGGATTCGAACTACCTTTTGCTTAGCAGCCGAACTAATAAACACTGTGTAAACTGTGGTATATCCATACAATGGAAAATTACTTCAGCAGTGATAACAAACAGATTACTGATATATGCAACAACATGGATGAATCTCAAATGCATTATGCTAAGTGAAAGAAGCCATACTCAAAAGAGTACATACCGTATGATTCCATTTATATGACATTCTGGAAAAGGCAAGAGTATTGGGACAGACATCAGAGCAATGGCTGTCAGGGGAAAGGGAGGGGGAAGGGGTTAACTACAAAGGGACACAAGGAAATTTTTCAGTAGGTTGAAATTATTCTGTATCTACTGTGGTGGCATCATATACAACTTATACGACTATATTTGTACGACTATATTTGTTAAAACTCACAGAACTACACAAAAATGGTGTTACTTTATTTAAATTGTAATTTTTTATAAAAGCTCTCAATGGAAATTATTACCAAAAAAACATAAAAACTACCATGAATATGACCACAAAGTTTCTGCATGCCAGACGAGAAAAACCTTTCAAAGAGAACCATTAAAAACAAGGCCTACAATGTCACACACATACGCACATATTCTCTCTGCCATCCTCTACCCTCTGCCCTCTGAAAGGCCTAGCTAGCAAAGGGCGTTTCAAAAGAAATCATCTCAACTCCCATTCTTACCTGAGACATAGACTGTTTCAGGATTGGAAGGAAGCACTAATAATACTCCACAAAAGACCTAGTACCTTTAGAGAAGGCTATCGAGAAGTGGGAAAGGCCGCAGTAGTTCCTTCAAATTGCAGTGGGAATTGCGTACCCTCTTCTTGTTCTTCCTTAGGAGAACTGGGGTGCACACGAATTCTCAAGCGCTGCACACTCACCTCTGTCGTGACTGCGCTTAAATCGACTGTCTGCATCTCAGTCCTGCAGCACTCCCTTACAGAGGAGACTGAATTGTGCAGAGGCAACGAAAGTAGGCCAAGGCGACAGAACACTCTAGTTACCAGGTGGTGACCAATCACAGGCCCCTCCCCAGAAGTGCATCGCTCTGAGGTCAGGACTCAAAAGCAGTCTGTGCTGTCAGCCTGAACCTAAAGGGACTCACTTACTGGGCTTGTTTTTCCACAGCATTAAGCTGAGGGTTTATGATTTGAGACCCCATGTCAATCTCTGCCACAGGGCTGGCGGTCTCTCCTTCCACAGTTATCACCTAGTTCTGACCTTATCTTTTTCTCCTTCATGTGAGGAAAGATGGCAAGCCAATTAATTTCGCAGGGCATATAGTCCATACAGAACTGAAAACGAAAGGCCAAAATACACCTACCACCCCAGACTGCCATGAAACCCAGCTGCCTCATCCCAAGGAACATCATAGCTACAGCATCGTCACCTTCCACCCGGGATCACAAACTTTTAAAATCTTTTTTGAGTTGTTTCTGCAGGGGTGGAGGTGGGATGTACCTTTTGGTCTTCCATCAACCGATGCCAGCTTCTTCGTTTCTGCTGTCAACAGCAGCTCATAAGGATGCTCATCTTCTTCCCTGGCTGCACTCCCCTGGCTCCTGGGTCTCATGGCCAGGACCTGAGAGAAAGAAACACCACAGAACTTCTCATGTAGGTGACTAATACCAAGACAAGTTGTGTTAAACACATTCTAGATTATTGGCTCCTTTTTCATCTGAAAGGGAGGAGGGAAAGAAGGGAAAGAGAAATGAAATAATTCAAGTGTGTCACATGGAATCACAACTGCCCAGCTCTTTTCTGGATATGCACCTGAACCTCAAATCTCAAAGGCCTTGGATTAGAGAGCTCCCCTTTCCTTACCTCATTTTATCCTTCCAAAAACTATAAATCAAATCCAAGATCCTTCCTTCCCTTCGCTCTCACCACCTCCACAGGGTTCTGCAAGATCTCCTCTCTGTGGATAACACTTCCCAAGCATTTTTTTAAATGATGATGCATCATAAGGCCTTCTTTCCTCGTATCTCTTTCCTAATATAATCACATACTACCAAATGGCTGGAATCCTTCCCACCTTCTCAAAAGCAAATCAAAATGACCTTTGACTGATTCTCAATGCCCCATATTTACTAGAAACAAACCAAAACACCAAAAAAACTCATTGCCCTCAAATCAGTTCTGACTCACAGCAACCCTATAGGACAGAGTCAACTGCCCCACAGGGTTTCCAAGGTAGCTGATGGATTCGAACCGCTGACCTTTTTGGTTAGTAGCTGTCTCTCTTAACTACTGCACCACCAGGGGTTGTTAGCTAGTGGTCTCTAAATCCTTCTCTATTTTTGTGAGCCTTTCTTCACAGGTCCTAGGAGTTATAGGGAAAGATTTCCTAAAAGCTGACTTCTTGCCACATTTATGATAATACAATTTTAAATTAATTCTACTGATCTCTGTTCTGAAAAAAGTAAAGTGGCTAGGTAGTATGATTTCAGAGGAGAAAAAGCAACTCTGTCCACTGAGAAATCCCTAATCTAAGCAGCCAAGTGACCCTGATGAAATGACTGGACCAGAACTAGCTCCTACACCTGGTGGCCACAGCTAGTCATGGTATTAGAGTAGCCAAGCTTCCCCTTGAACCAGGGCAGAAACAACATTAGTGCCACTGTTACACTGGGAGGGAGAATGGCTCTTGCTTTAGTGGATAATTTTAGCACATCTGCCCTCAGAATCCAACAAGTTTCACAAACAAATTAAGAATAACCATACACCAGATATTATGAAAGCAAACCAAAGCACAGACTCTCTTCTTGAGCAGTTTGGCTAGGACAAGTAACATATTATGATCAGGTGATATTCCCGATTCCATCTAACAAATAACGGCACGCTACAAATGGGATTCCTTGGCGGCATATACAAAGAAACCCCCTTCGATGCTGACACATCCCAGGGCTCACTGGAAACACGTCAGGTTTGTAATTCATCAGTTTTGCTTTTTCGAAGGCATAGCTCACTGTGTTATGGCCTAATGAGACAACAAGGACTCTGGCAGCCTCAGACTAAATGAGAAACAGCAGCTCCTGTGTGTTAACAAGGCTGCCACTCTAAAGGCAGAATTGATAGCCTCTTTCCAAAATTCTGCTCAGCACAGCAGGAACCTCCACTTACTACTTGCCACCTGGAAGCTGAAAGCTTTTTCATCACAATAAGCCATTTGCCTGTATTACTTATTCCTTTCTCCTCTTCACAGGAACACAATTAAGAGAACAAAGAGGGACTATTAAGCAGTTCACACAGTGTCAACTTAATACCACAGGCTTTCCAGATAGGAATTTGTGTTATGCACATTTACACACCCACTGGCTATCACTAATGCAGAGCCCTGGAAATCTGATTCTGTGAGCGTTCTGCATACAGCAACGGCCCTCATACAGCCCCAGGCATGCTTCATTGAGAGGTATTGGCAGCCTGGATGCCCCGCCTCTAATATCCTTTCTTCTCAAGCAGGACAGGGCTGATGACTTCCATCTAGGCTATCAGACACATCGGACCTGCACTCACTATATACCTGGCTCTCATGCAGGGCAAGTGGAAGCAGAGAACGTCAAATGTTAGAGCTGAAAGGGACCCAAAGCATTACAGCCACAGAGCACCTGGGTCCAGCCCTTCCATTATGCAGATGTTGAAACTCAGTTCCCAGAGTGGTCTAGGGGCTTGCCCAAGGTTACTCAGAGAGCTCAAGGCAGAGCCATGGCCACAAAACTCCATTTTGATTCAGGACCAGAGTGGGAAGTATGATTTCTCCATCCAATTTGAAACCCTTTCCGTCCTCTGATGTCTAATGAGAGTTCCCTGCATGTAACCTAGACAACATGTGGGGCAGTCTTTTTCCTCTTGGTCCTGGTCCCTACCAGCTATGAGATTAGAATTTTATAATGAAGCAATAAACTGCTTCTCTTTGAGACTACCTAGCTCCCACTCAAGAAGCCCCATGTCAGAGTGAATTTGGCAATAACTGATTTTCAACAGAGAGGATTCTGTTCTTTACTAAATTACTCCTTAATCTTTTTTTCCTCCATTTCTCCAGTGCTGGCAATAAATCAAAGCTGAAAAAATTATATTCTCTGCTATGTGGAAAGCAACATTTCTGCTGCAAAGAAAAGCTACTAGCAGTCACCACCTAACTGTGACCAGTGGAATTGCCAGTTGGGGTGTGGGCTGACTTCTGGGAAAAGACGCCATGGCAGCTGCAACTGCCCAGGAATGTTTAGCACTTGTGAGCAGAGTAAAGACCACAGTCAATCCTGATGCAGCCAGCGGTCCATTCTGTGGGGAAAAACATCTTAATAGCATGCGTGCATGTGTGTAATTTTTTAAGCCAGTTTCATGATTTTGTCATTATTCTGATAAGCTCTCCTGGAGCCAGGTATACTCCAGTTTCCCTTAACAGCTTGAAAGGGTCATCTGACAACGACAGGCTTCAGGAATAAGGGACATGAACACTGGGGCAGAATGCCTGCCTAATACAATGGTCTAAACATTGATGAAGCCCATGCCTCCTGAGAGCAGATACTAAAGCTTCGAGAGTCTAAGAAATAAATGTAGTGAAGGCTACAGAGTCAAAAAACAAAACAAAAAAATCAATCCACTTATTCATTCAGACGACAGCATATGAACAAAATCTGCCTGGATCATGGCCCAGGCCACATCACCTCTATATTCATGTACCTATACCAAAACCAAATCCACTGCCACTGAGTCGATTCAGACTCATAGCGACCCTATAGAAAAGGGTAGAACTGCCCCATAGGGTTTCCAAGAGGCAGCTGGTGGATTCAGACTGCCGACCTTTTGGTTAGCAGCTGCAGCTCTTAACCACTGTGCCACCAGGGCTCCCATGAACCTATAATCACCACTAAATAATCAGTCAGGATGTGCAGTCTTCCAAATACCAACTATGCTGGTCCAATTGACCCAGAATTCCCAGGTATTCAGAAGCAAATTCTAGAAGATACCTTAGACAGACTCTCCATCCAGGAGACTAATATGGAGATTTTTTCCCCTACCTCTTGACACTGTGTAATTGCCAAATTGTATACTTTAGAAAGCCTTGGGAGAATAGAAATTCCTTTCATTATTATTAATTAGGTGCCTTCAACCCACACCACCACCATGCAACAGAACAGAACTGCCCTATGAGGTTTTCTAGGCTGTAATCTTCATGGAAGCAGTTCACCAGGTGTTTCTCCCATGGAGCCACTGGGTGAGTTCAAAACCATCAACCTTTTGGTTAGCAGCCAAGTACTTAACTGTTGTGTTACTGCCCAATTGTATGCTTTAGCAAGCCTTGGGAGAATAGAAACTCCTAGTCATCCAGTATTTCTTTAAGAGACTTGCCCTTATCCTCGGGCATTAGGAATTTCAATCTAAGTCCTTGTTAAAGGGGCACACAGAGCTTTTACAGAGATTTAGCCCTAACTGAATATGCTCCTTCTTGTAAAAAAGGAGTATTGAAGCAAACTTCCATTTACATAAAAATGTGTAGGGATTTACTACGTGCACTTATATCTACTGGCAATGTATCATTACCCAAGGGGCTGCATTTCTAGAGACCCCTTAGCTGAGGCACGATAATAAGTATTTTGTAATTGAGGGAAAGAAAGATATAAGGACAGAATTTGTACCTAGCATAGAAATCTTCCTTATCTCCAACACTGGCTTTTACATTTTTAAAAGGGTTTCCTTGGGAAAGGACAACACACCCTACAGGGGAAGTCAGCACAACTGGACTAAACCAAAAGCTAAAAAGTTTCCTGAATACAACCAAACACTTCAAGGGACACAGTAAAAGGGGTGGGGGTCTGGGGACCATGCTTTCAGGGGACATCTAGGTCATCTGGCATAACAAAGTTTATTAAGAAAAAGTTCTGCATCCTACTTTGGTGAGTGGCGTCTGGGGTGCTAAAAGCTAGTAAGCAGCCATCTAAGATGTATCAATTGGTCCCAACCCACCTGAACACCAAAGACACAAGGAAAACATTAGCCCAAGAGATAGAAAGGGTCACATAAACCAGAGAATCCAACAGTCTGAGATCAGAAGAACTAGATGGTGCTTGGCTACCACCAATGACCGCCGTGACAGGGAACACAACAGACAGTCCCAGATGGAGCAGGAGAAGAGTAGGGTGCAGAACTCAAATTCTAGTAAAAAGACCAGACTTAATGGTCTGACTGAGACTGCAGGGACCCCAGAAGACACGACCCCCGGACTCTCTGCTAGCCCTTAGCTAAAACCATTCCCAAAGCCAACTCTTCAGACAAAGATTGGACTGGGCTATGGGACATAAAATGATGCTTGTGAAGAGTGTGCTTCTTCGCTCAAGTAGATACATGAGGCTAAATGGGCAGTTCCTGTCCGGAGGCGAGGTGAAAAGGCAGAAAGGGACAAGAGCTGGCTGAGTGGACACGGGAAATCCAGGGTGGAAAGGAGGAGTGTGCTCTCACAATATGGGGAGTGCAACTAGGGTCACATAGCAGTGTGTGTATAAAGTTTTGTATGAGAAACTAACCTGAACCGTAAACTTTCATCCTTGTATTTATTCATCGTATTAAACGAAAGCCATCCTTCTGGTTCCATGTGTTTATATTGAATAATATAACTGTCATTGGATGGCCCATGGCAATACTGTAAAAAAATGACTAATTCTGACTTCCAGGGATAAAGTAATGAGACTTAATTAATTGGTTTATATTAGCTGAATTTTAAATTATTATATTAAAGAACAATAGGGCACTGAATGAAGTAGAAAACAACTATTAAAACTATGTAATATTTTCAGTACTCAATAAACGTATTTTCTGAATGGTAGAAAGTGTTAAAGGAGTATTTTGAAGATGAAAGATCAAGAAAAATCTGCTTTTCTTCATATACCTAAGTGAGAAGATTGAGTTATTTACCCAATGATAAAAATTCTTTTCTTAAAAAAGGTGGACTGTTACTTTCAAATAAACTTCCTTGATCTTTCCCCCTCAATCCATGACTCCTATTTCTTTTCTAATTGAGTCATGACATTTCCCATGTTTGTCCTGGTGTAGATTCTTCATGTGAAATGAAAAAGGGAAAATGGGAAAACAGAAATAAGACATTTGAGAGATAACCACCAAAGCTTGTTACTATGGAGCACTCCAGAAAACAGGGATTAGGGGATACTCTACACTACACTATGTATCCAAAGATAACACAGATACAAAAGCAAAAGTGAGACGTTTAGCCCATTGAAGCCAGGAGAAAATATGCATGTTTTACTTTCCACATGGTAAGGCAGATCAATAATTAGCCTGTATGCTATAGATCTATATTAAAATTCCTTATTCAGTACTTTTGAGTGAGTTTGAAAGGCCTTGCTCCAGGTTACTGATGCATACAAATTTACTACAAATTAACTAATCCAAAGAGGTTGTAAGAAAATGAAAAAGCAAAGTCTTCTTTAAGTACACAGTGATGCGCTCTCCAACGATCTCATATTTCAGTGATGGGAATAAACTCTCAAACCTCTACCTCAGAAGCTGTCAAGGGCAAATACTTCTTATCTGCACGGTCTTCCTCCTCTTCGTCGGGCGGCGGCTTTGCTGGAGGTGGTGGACGTTCCCGCTGTAGAAGAGAAAGAAATAAGTACTTACCATCTCTTTCGACAAGTATCTAACTTTTTGGTTTACCCTTATCTTAGCCCTCGGCAATTAAAAAAGAATAATGTAAAGAACTCCCCTGGGAGACTAAACTCAAGGTTTAGTCTCTGAATAGATGGAGAACCCTGCACACACACACAAAATTCAATTAGCGTGTTCTTTGGTTTTTGATGTTTGTAGCAGAGATCATAAACTCTTCTTTCATATCCTAGACCACAGGAAGAAATGCCAGTACTGACAATACATAACTGTCCTGTTAGAAAATGTCCTCTGTAATACTGATATAGAAGACTAGGGTATAGGAAAATCAATGGCTCAATTTTTAGTCTACTCTAAAAAGAGGAAACACTAGATCCAAAGAATCAACTTACCAAATAGTTCTAACAAACCAAAGTCATTGAGCTTATCCTGATGAAGATATTTTAATTCCTGTTCAAACTTTAATGCTGTGATACCAGTCTATCTCCATTTATTAGCAAAAAGCTCAGAAATAGTCTCTTACTCTTGGTCACCTCCTTCAATGGTAACTATTATATACCATTAGCATATGAAAACCCTATTTCTTCTAAGTCCATTTTAAAATGGAACACATGTGTGTTGTCTTCCCTAGAGCAGGGGTTGGCAAACTTTTTCTTAAAGGGCAACATAAAAAATATTTTAGGCTTTGCAGGCCATTCAGTCTCTGTTGCAACTACTCAACTTTGCCACTGTAGTGCAAAAGTAGCCATAGACTATATGTAAATGAATGAGCATGGCTATGGTCCAATAAAACTGTAATTACAAAAACAGGCAGTGGGCCCTAGTCTGTCAACCAATGCTCTAGAGCAAGAAACTCACTGAAGAGAGGCACTGAACTAGTTAGATGACGAGCAATTTCAGGGATACACAGAAGTACCTTTGGTGAAGGACACCTGAAAGCTAAAAACTTAAGAGAGCTGCCATTGCACCTGCAGTACCTTTAGCATCACTCACATTCCAAAGCCCTATTCATGCTTGGTAATCCTACAGGGAGGGGGGTGGGGGCCTCAAATAGGAGTTGGCCTACAGGATCATTCCCTGGTTTGTATGTCAGTTTACTGTGTTGCTAGAACAGGAGCGATTTCTGAAAGCCAGAGTTGAGATGAATGCTGAATTATGTGAGCGTCCCAGACAAATCTGCAAGGAAGGATACCTCTCATGTTTTAAGAGCTGCCAGAAGTAGCACTGGGCATCCATGAGCACTGTTAAAACATGCTCCACTGCTCAGTATTACTTCTTGATAAGTCGGTCATTCCCATAGTCCCTGGAACCGGATGGATGTCCAGTGACAACAACTTTAAAACATGTTTCTACTTTCATGCCAAACAAAGCTACTCAGATCAATTTCCCAATAAACCCCACTTTTCCCACCCTTCTTTGCTCTGGAAGTGCAGGAACAAGCCTGATCTGAGCATCACCTTGTAAGGAAGGGAACCGCAAAAGGAGCAGGCCCATATCTGCCACCAGTAAATCTGCCAGAGGGAAAACACAACACAACAACACAAGGACCATCCTAGAAACCTTCCGAAACCCAAAAGAACCTAGAAAGAACATTCATGGAAGAAGTGACCACCACGGACACTGGAAGGAAAGCGAAGCACCCACAAGCCCCTTTTTTTCTAATGTGAAAGCTTTGGACCAGGTGCCTGGAAGTACAGGGCTGATTTATACATGCCAAAAGTACACTACATCTACCAAAATACAGAAAAGTCCCTTGGCCACAGTTAATTACCAAGTGCCAGGAAAATAGCACAGTCACAATAAAACAAAACAAAACCCACTGCCATAGAGTCAATTACGACTCATAGCAACCCTACAGGATAGAGTAGAACTGCCCCATAGGGTTTCCAAGGAGCAGCTGGTGGATTCAAACTGCCGACCTTTTGGTTAGCAGCCAAGCTCTAAACCACTGCGCCATCACGGTTCCACAGTCACAATGGACACAAATAAATGACATAGCATATACCTTAAGATGCATCAGTTTCTACTTAGCAGGACCATAAAATGTTAGATTCCTAGAGCAGGGTGGAGCAAAGAGATTTATATAAATCAGTGGCTAAATTCCATAGGAACTTGGTTATTCTCAGCTTATTTCGGTAACCCTGTGCTGCTTCTTGCAAAGGCTCTAGCTCCCCCTAATGGGCATCACCTGTAAGTACCACTTAAAGCAAAGACCTGCCCTACAGCTCAATTTGCTAATTCATTTATGCCTAACAGTGAAAGAAGTGAAATAAATTAGCTCCGTCTACTATACTAGTGGTGCTCAACATACATACTTGCTTCACCACTCATAAGGAGTTTTGTTATGGTCCTTGAAAACACCTACCCTGGTGAGCTACCACAACTGGCTGGTCTTTCCAAAGTCCATATTAAAACACTGGAACTATTCCAGGACAGGGCAGAGCAAAAAAGTCTACCAAAAAGAACACTCCAAGAAACACCGGGCCATTCGCAATGCACACATGAAAAGTTCAAGGATTCCCCTGCAGTCAAAGGATCACTAAAATGGTCATAAGCCAGATTCAGACCAAAGGGAAAGACCAGCAGGAAGAAATATCACTGAAAATGTGTCTCAAGACGGGATTATCACTGGGATCCTGTTAGCACAATGGTCAGTTTAGCTCAAACCTCAAATTACTGTGCCTAACAACACGGAAGGGAGGGTAAATGGGACCAGTGATTCAGGTCTAGGCTCACAGTATAACCCTGGGAAAGAAAAAGGGGCAAGGGGTTTTCGGAACAATGTACAAGTCTGGAAGTAGAAGCAAACACCACAAAAAGAATCAGAAAGGTGGGCAGGTGGACCTTGAGAAGGAAAATTTCAGTGTTCTGCTCCTTCTATCATTTCAATGGCTAGAGGGGCTATGACTGGATAAAAATAGGAACTCCACAAATGAATACAAATGATGTCTCATTGAGACTTGTTACAACCCTGCTGAATATAGAACTTGTCCAAATCCAAATAGATGATCCCTTCAGGGCAAATGAAAGGTGAGCGTGTACTCAGAGCAGATAGGGACTTATTTCGGTGAGCTTCTTCCACTGTAGGAACTGCTTTCCCGAGACAAAACAAACAATATATATAGCTAGACCACAAAGACAGGAGCAGCACTAAGGCTAAATAGAAAGAAAATCTTTAACCTGCTCTAAAGCAAAACAATAATGGAAAGATGCAAACTGGTTGTACCACATTGAAAAAACTGAAATTTTACCTCAATATGATCTGTATAGTTTTATCACATTGAGCAAGAGAGACACGGCAGAGCTCCCCTGGAGAAGAGCATACTGACCCACGTCTGAAATGCCAGCTGGCACTAGGGGTCACCCATCCTCTTCCCAGTGACCACTGCAGCCCAGACCAAGCTAGCCCACACAACACCCAATATGCGAGGAGAGTCAGGACCCCAGGCCACATACAGTCCTCACTCCAGCAGCTTTCACTCCTGCTGCCTCAGCCTCCTTGTTTACAGAGTCTCGGTCAGACGATCGTCCGCTGGCCACACTGTCCAATGAATAGCAGGAGACAGCATTGTACAGCGCCTCGTAGGGACCCTCCTCTTCAGCGGTTGTGTCAAAATCAATGATCAGCTCAGTCACTGCTTTCTCCACGTTACCTGATGAGGAGATTGGAGGGCAAGAGAGTAAATAAAAGAGCGCAATCTTGGGTTCCAACCACTGCAACAACCCAAAGTCCCCTCAGCAATCTGAACTCGACAAACACTGACTGACAGCAGGAAAATTAATGACTGCTTTGCTCCATGGACAGGAATAAAAGTTGTGGTTTCAGCTGCTCTTTATATCCTGAGATCTAAACAGATTTTTCTCTAATTCAATATGGGAAACCCTTTACATTTATAAGGGATACCTCCCAAGATCTTTATAAATTCCCAAATACCTCAATAACATGATAGCAGAAACTTAACCCATAAAGTGTAGCAAGGTATAACTAAAAAACTTCAGTAATCTTTTATATTCTTAATAGGAATCTCCATGTGCTCAAGTAAAACGGAGGACAGCAAAGCCTTTCTGACTTGGTGGTACTGTGTAGCTGCTTAGATTCACTCACTGGATAACTACCAATCTCAAAGCACATAGGATCCAAATTTGTGTTTATGCAACATTACCAATTGTTATAGACCAAGGATCTCCAGGTTGCTTGCAAATAGTCTTACTACAAATGTAAAATTCTTGAAAACTAAGAGCTTACTGAACTACTAAGCCCATTCCTAGCATATTATGAAGTCAAGGAAAAAGTGCTTGCGGGGAGGGACACAAGGACTCCACAATAAAGACAGGAGGATGGGCACTCGTTAACCTTTACACCTCTGCACTCCTATGGAAAATCCTTTCCCCTTTTAGTTTTTGGCTTTATTCTGTTTTGCTAGCCTTCTTTATTGTGATCTGTATTAAGGGGAAGGTGTCAGTCAATCTTTACTTGGTTTTTGTCATTAATCATACCTAGGATCCAAAAGGCTACTCGATAGATCACAAAAAGTGGATCCTGGTTAATTATAGATAGACAAGACTGTCTAAGCTAGATCAAGACTACATTTGTTGGCCAAATGATATATTACCAAAATCTGCTATATACATTATCTACGAACCAGGTGACATTCATTCAATATTTACTGAGGACCAACTATGCTCAAGACATACAGTGTGTGTTAGCAAAAGAAGGTTTCACTGACATTTGAATTAATATTGAGATCATCCTGCCTACTACACATCCCAAAAAAAGATTTCATAGAGCCAGCTGTAAAAGTGGAGAATAAAATAAAGTAAGAAAGAAGAAGCCCACAGTCACAGGCCTAAGCTATGTCCAATAAAACTTCCAAAACCAAAGCCAAACCCACTGCAGTCAAGTAAATTCCAACTCACAGCAATCCTACAGGACAAGGTAGAACCACCCCATTGCGTTTCCTAGGCTGTAATCTTTATGGAAGCAGACTGCCACATCTTTCTCCTGTGGAGCAGCTGGTGGGTTTGAACTGCTGACCTTTTGGTTAACAGCAGAGCACTTAACCACTGTTCCACCAGGGCTCCTTAAACTTCATATAGTTAGAAAAAAAAGGAATTTGAATATTAACTTATTGAGTATCCTCAATCTCTTGAAATCGTTATTTAAATTCAGATTTTCTATTCTGCCAAAGAATGTTCAACTCTTTTCCAGCTGAGTGCTCCCTGCCCCTACCTCTGCCCCTTTACTGGCAGAGAAGAGTTGCCTTACCCTGAGATCTCTGTGATATGGAGTCCATATTGGAGATGAGAGGTAGTTGGGGTGTGGGGGGTTTATCTACCTCTTTTGTACTTCTTTTTCCAGTCATGTGATCTACATGGAAAGATTAAAAAAAAAAAAAAAAAAGCTGCACCAAATACAAATGCTTTAGTTTGACCAGTATGTCCCCTAGAGCCCCAGACAGTGAGATGGACTGATACCTTCAATAAGTGCTGCTATCTGCTGGCTTTTCTGAGAAGGCAGTTCCCGGACGGTGTCTAGGGCAGTCAGTCCACGGTTGTCTTTTATGTTGACATCAATTCCTAAAAAGGCACATCAGGGGGACCAGGAGAAAAAGCATTTTCAAACCAGCCTCAAAGAGGACAAAATTTCAGGACACTTAATGCTTCTAGCAGCATAACCAGCACATTTCATCCAAAGCCATTTAATCCAGCTATTCAAGAACAATCTGTATACTTGCAAATCAACCAGTAGAGACACACCTACATTGGGTCCAAATGCAGCCAGCAAAAATCAACCCCCTGTAGGGAGGCTAGGGAGAAACAATCCCAACCCTGGCATGCTGTGTAGACAAGAGCGCTGCCGACCTCTCACCTGCAGCCAGCAGGATTTGCACCACATCGGTCTTGCCAAACAAAGCAGCCTCATGCAAAGCACTGCCCTTCTCCGTCTGGAAAGCAAACGAGAGTGCAGAGCAGGATGTCATCAGAACAGTGACCCAGGTTTGGCGTGGCTTCACACGACAAATGGGACACAGACAAGAAGGGACAGGAAAACAAAATAAACCACACAAAGCCCTCTGTCATTATCTTTCCAACTTTTCTTGTATGGATTCCAAAAACCACAGTTGTGGCCCATACATCAAGGCTGTTTGATGTGCCACCAGCAGGCCACACATGAATAACAGCTACCCTTGGAGCCATCTATTGGCACAACTCCACAAAATCCCACCTTCCTGGGTCGAAGGAATAATGAGAAGAAAAGTACATGGGAAGCAAAGCACCTTACTATAAATGTGGTCTGGTCAATGTGAAGCCTTAAGGATGGTCATTCCTCTGAAGGAGGAGCTAACAGCGGAGGGAAATGCTAAGTCTCCTATTGGCAATACCAAGTTAATGTGACTTTTGAGGTGCTAAAAGGTGGCAGTGGGAACACATGTATAGGAAGATAATGAAACTTTTCTAATTTTGAGAGACAGTCTATAAGCACATCTTTTCAGGGTTTAATGCTGAAAAAGAAAAAAAAAACAAAACAGACTCACTTGAGGAGCTCATTGGTCTCTAAAGTTTCACATTAAAATGGGTCAACAAACGGAAGCGGCTAAAACATGATGTGAAACGTGCTAAACAAGAACACAGCCCAGCAGCATGGTCCTTGTGCCTTTTCCGAAATGACTAAGTCCCTTGAGCCTGGGAGGTACATCTGTCCTGCTACCTGGTAGTTGCTATCCATGCCAGCATCCAAGAGGACCTGGACCACGGCTTTGTGGCCATTCCTCGCTGCCAAGTGTAGAGGGGTGTGCTTCTTAGTGTTGCAGCTCAAGAGGTTGGGGTGCGCATTGAGAAGCATCTTCACCACCTCCAGTCTCCCGTAGAGCGCAGCCAGGTCCAGAGGCGTCTCGAATTTGTTGTTGCGCATGGTGGGGTCTGTTAGCTCCTCTAAGAGGACCTTCACCACCTCTGTGTGGCCGTACTGTGCTGCACAGTGCAGGGCCGTCTCGTTGTCATTGTTCTAAAGGGTTAATAAGCAGATCACATTAGAAAGGTGACTGGCAGACTGGCACATGACTAGACAAATATATGTAAAACCACTGAAATTTAAATGAGAAAAACAGCAGTGATACTTGGGGATTAATAAAAGTAAGTGAGAATCCAGATATACTCCCCTGCAAAAAAAGCCCGACTGCTCTAATTAGCTCCATCCTCTGCTAGTTACTGCAAGAGGGGAGCAGTCATCTCCTAAACATTTGTGGTCTCCTATGTGCTGTGACGTGAGTGTCTCCAGATTGTAAAGAGAATGAACAAGGGAATGTGGCAGGCATTTGGTAGAAGCCTTGTCACAGAAGAATTCCAATAATGTCACTGCCATTGTTTCATTTTAAACTACAACTGGTTTTACGACAATTTATAACTTAATCAACCCTGGGGTTCTGATTCTGGACTCTTCAACCACTCGCTGCCTTACACACAAGCTTTTTTGAAAGAATTTGTCATCTGTGTAGCTTCCTGCATGCAAATAAATCAGCCAACAATGAAAGTAATGGAGTAGAGCACCAAAAATCACTCTCAAGGTATCAGCCAACAGCCATGTCCAAAGGAGGGAGACACTTGGGCTCAGTTGCAGAGGAACATGGGACCTGGATGCTGCACTGGGCCTGCTCCAGAAGCCTGCACCCATCAGCGCATGCAGTACCAACTTCATAAAAACACAGCCAGCATGGGGAACTGCTTCTTATCTAAGAAAGACACAATCAGACACTGGAATGTTTTCTGTGAGAGGTGCAAAATATTTGAATCTGACATTGTCATCAAATCAAATTCACAATCTCATGGCCCTTGAACGCCAATTTTGTTTCAAACTAAAGGTAGAATCTGGGAGAAAGTAGTGCTTTATCAACTATCAGAAGCATAATGTTGGTCATTCCAATGATACCATTTCTTTTACTATTAATAATTTATAGTGCAAATAAAGTAAACTTCCATGACCTCTCCTTTTTTAGAAGCACTAACCAAAATAATCCTCCCACAAGATTTTGAGATTCCTGAATTTACCCATTAGGCTTCTGTCACTTTAGGGCACAAAGCTTAAGAGCGGGCATGCCCATCAAGTCAATATTTTGCACCTTTCAGCCATCAAATGGTAAAAATGAAATGTTTCTATAATTGCTTTAATTCTATTAATGATGTTAAAAGTAACAGGCTAGGAGTTACCCAAACATGCATGCAATTCCATCTGCTTTTGGTCTGGCATTTACTGCATCATTTTTTCAAGCTACACCAAGTGTATCAGAAAGATCCAGAGCTGCTGGGAGCAAAGGCTCAAGGCCAGAGTGATGGCAAAGAAAATTTAAAAAATGAAATAAGGGCAGAAAAAGTGGTAGCAGGAGTCACATGCAAAGATAAATGCGCACAGGTAAACAGAGGAAGCAGCACTGAACTTAAACACAGCTCAAGGAAAGCAGCTGCTGAGAAAGTGCAGACAGCCATCACTGGCTCCAGAACACAGCCATTTAGCAATGGCCTCCTATGATACAACCTGGCCCCAGGGACAGTTTCCATGTCAACCTAAAAGTCTAGAGGGAAGGGAAAAGCTAGGCAGAAAGCAAATTCCTGGGGTTCTCTGTGCCAATCAAATCATTTAGGGCATCCACTTGAAAATGCCCCCTTCCTATTGAGCTATGGCATAAGTTTCCTTAGCAAACTAACAGCTGCCACTTTACTTTCTCATGATAACAAGACAATTACATCAACCAAAATTCACAGGACGTTTCTGTAAAAATGATTCTGAGGCAGAGTGGCAACCCAAAGGAGTTTAAGAAGATTGTTGGGGTTTTATATCTCAGGATTAGCATGACAGCAAGGGCCAAGAAAGTCAGCTTATTCTTCTTAAAACTCCAATCCTGGAAAACTTTTGTTTACTCTGAAGCAGATCTCGCTGTCTCTTTTATACCCAAGTTGTCTCCCAACAGCCAGAATAATTTGTCCTTGTATTGTTGAAAAAGCATGCCATTAGGGCCAGAAGAACTATCAAACTCTAAACTATCCACTAGATAAAAAAAATATGAAAGATCCTCTCTATTTCCTTGTTTCCTAGAACGAAGGCAGCTGCTATAAAGCTGCCTGGCTAAAGGCAAGGTCTTGATCACTACCACGTAAATTTCCTGCCTTGTTTTAAAAACGGTCTAACCACATCGCTGCAGAAAGTTTCTCTCATATTCACAGTGTAGGAGGCATCTTACTTATGCCTCAGTCTTGCGAGATGTGGTCTGGAAAAATAACGTTCTACTATTCAGTAGAGGCTATTACAATGAGCTCTGACTACAGCTTCCCCTTTGAGCCTGACAACTATCAGGGCAGGAAGTCACTAAGTGATGAATCATGGGTTCACAAGGAAGGGAGGGATTCCAAGGAGCCGCAGAGATTCCTAACCATGTAGAATCTCTCCATTTCACACCTTCCAAATCATACCACAGGTATTCATAATACATCAAGAGTTCTCAGAATTATATTACTACGAGTCTGGAATGAAAAAAATGTTTCCCCAAAGCCATTTCACATTTGAGACACACTTTCATTTTTTCTTGCTACGGTCAGTACATCTACGAAAAAAGGGATCCCTATGCATAGCCCTTACATCTGCAGACCCCACTCAAGGTGTAAATCCATTGTATACACATTGTACACACACATGTACACAAATATACATATACTACAAGCAGCAGAAAGCCATACATAAACATTTCCATGGCCTTTCTCCTCTTGAAACTATTTCAGGAGCATTACCGTCCAAAGCTTAGATTACAGCTCAATTGCATACTTGTCCATATTTGACAGATGTTTAAGTGATGGACATGTGGACTATAGTTCTCTGCACAACAACAGCATAGGGTCTAGAAACATACCACAAATGAAGGGAAAAACCATGTCTTTTGAGACTGAGAAAATGAGGCGAAACCTGAGAACTGAATCCATGAAGTGGAAGAAGAGTTAGATTTACTCTATATGCTCCGAAAGGCAGAACTCTGACAAACAGATGGAAGGTTTAGAAAGACAGATATCAACCAAGCATAAGAAACCAACAATCAGTAGAATCCAAAAAGAGGCTGCAAAGCAGTAATGAATTCTGCTTGTTATTAGGAAAAACAAACAAATAAAACAAGAGGTGGATGGCCTCCTACCTGTCAGATAGAGAGAGAAGGGGATTCCAACTTTGGGTAGAAAGTTGACCTAGATCAGTGTTCTCAAAAAGGCTGCATGTTGGAACCACATGGGGGAATTTAAAATTATCTAGTACTAGGTCCTAATCCTGACTTTCCAAGGTACCACTTCAGAGAGCAAGGACCAGGAAACTGTTCTTAAAAAGCTTACCAACCTGGCAGTCACCAACCTAACCAAGCAAAGTCATCATTATCAAGATGACATCACGTGCCTTAGGATGTGATGTAGTGAGAATAATACATGCATAATATCACTTCTGTGGCATTTCTGCCAAAAATGTATAACCTGAATCTAATCATGAGGAAACATCAGACAAACCCAGACTGAGGGATAGTCTACAAAACAACTGGCCCATACTCTTCAAAAATGTCAGTGTCAGAAAAGTAAGAAAGGCTATGGAACTGTTCTGGATTAAAGAAGCCTAAAGAGACATGACAATTAAATGCGGTGCAATCCTGGACTGTGTCCTGGACTAGAAGAAAAATTGCTATAAAGGACATTATAGGAGCAATGGTGAAATTTGAACATGAATTCTATATTAGATAATAGTATTGTATCAATGTTAAATTTTCTGAATTTGATAACTGTATTGTGGTTATATAAGGGAATGTCCTTGTTCTTAGGAGACAGAAGTAAAGAATTTCGGGTTAAAGGTCATGATGTCCATGACTTATTTTTAAATAGCTTATCATCAGCAACAACTATTACACACACACACGTATATATGTATATATACATATATACAGAGAAAGCATGAGAGACAGAGAAAGCAAATGTGGCAAAATGTTAACGAATGGTGAACTTAGGAGAAGAGAATACTGGAGTTCATTGCATTATTCTTGCAACTTTTCTGTAAATTGGAATTTTTTTTTAAATAAAAATATTTTTAAAAATCGTGTCTCCTAAAAAGATATGTTGAAGTCCTAACCCCTGCACGGGTGAATGTGCCCTTATTTGGGAAAACAGGGGTTTTCTTTGCAAATGGGTCCAAATCCTAATTCCATCTGAGTGACCTTTTACAAAAGGGAAGGACAGACCCTGAAATAGAGACATACACAGGGGAAGGACAGCATATGAGGATCTGTCTACAAGCCAAAGAAAGACAAGAAATGCTTGGGGCTACCAGAAACAGAAAAAACAAGGAAGGATCTTCCCCTAGAGCAGAGCAGAGAGAGAGAGAACAATCCTGCCTATGCTGTCAATTCCAACTCCTAGCCTCCAAAACTGAAATAATGCATTTGTTCTTTAAAACCCCCTACTTTGTGGTATTTTGTCATGGCAGTCCCAGGAATCTAAGACACCGGCTTATTCTGATGCAACCAGACAGGTTGATCAGCATTTGGATACAACTGGTCTAGATAACCTCCAGGTCCTTTCCAGCTCTAAGGCTGTAAATCCTTTTTAAATGGACAGAAAAACAGATCTACCCTAAAACTAATTTGACTGTTGCTCATCTTATGATATATAGACTAAGTTTAAATCTTTTTAAAAAGGGTTAAATAACAGTTTTAATTTATTTTAACAGTTCTACCTTAGCTTGCTGAAAGTGAAGGGGACTTGAAGCACTTACTGACGAAGATCAAAGACTACACCCTTC